CTTGTACAAAAATACGACAACAAATTACCTAAAACTGAAGATTAGAGAAACAACACTTACTGATAATCACGTGAATTTATATTAATATAAATAGATTTTTTTGAGCTTGGGAGAAAGACCACAACTTCCAAAAAACACCGTAACTTCCAAACAGTAATTTTCTTCAATTCAACAAGATCACAATTGATTTTTTATCTCAGGTGCGCCAACTGTCAAAATTAAACACCAACCGATTTGAGAATTGAGCATGAGCCTCCAGCTTAAAACTACCCATCAAAAATTAAGATCAAAATCACCCCGGCAACCTAAAATGGCATAAAATTCCCAAGTCAAAAAGAAAAATTGATGGACGCAAAAAGAGCAGGAATTAAAACAATCATACGATACGAAACGAACAGATGCAAAAACAAATCGATTAAGAAAAAAGGGTGCCAGAAAAATTCACCTTTATCATTAACGGTGCATTTTTTTCCGAGAGAGATGTGATTAAAAAAAAAAACCCCAATATATGCTGCGCGTATGGGTCTGAAGTGGGGAGAGAGAAAGTTGCAGAGAGGGTTCAAGCGGCCATAGCAGAGATGGAGAGAGAGAGAGAGAGAGAGAGAAACCTGTTGATTTTTCAATTAAATTAGGATGAAAAAAATGAAGAAGAAAAGTAAGAAAAGAAACCCCCAAAAACACAAGAAGCAGAGAGTGGTAAGAGATATTTTTTAATTACGAACCCACTTTCCATATAAATTAATTATTTAATCACCCTTTAATTAATTATTTAATAGTGCTTCTTGTTTTTTTGTAATAAAAAGAGACAGAAATTAATAATTAAAAATATTAATATAAATAAGGAGTAGGGGCGTGGGGGTGGGGCCAGGTGGGGGGGTGACTGATGAATTATGTAGTATGAAAAAGTCCAAAGAGGGGGGGCCATAATCGAGTAAGGGCGTGTTTGGTTGGAGCAAGTGCTTTTCGCCATTATGCTAATTTTTTTTACTAACTTGCTGTAATACTTTTTGCATTAGATTAATTTCTCTACGAAATAAAACCCAATTAGTAGTTCTTAGGGTTTCCCATTACCAAGATAAACTTGCCTCGAAAATCTATCAAATCATTTAATTTGTGGTAATAAAGGAATTGTTTCAACAAACATACCTTTAAGAATATGTTGAGCAATACGAGGGTTAATAAAAATTTATTAATTTAGCAAAATATTAAATTATTTAACTACTAATTTAGTAAGTTCTTATCGAAAATTTATTATTTAAGCAAGGTTGTTAATTTATCATATTTGAATCATATTTTACGAATTTATGTATTTCAATGCAATGTCTACAACACCCTGAAAAATTTTAGTGGAGAAAATGATGCTCGATATATATTAAATATATTTTCAAATACACGTTCTCTTAAAATAAGCAGTTTGTGTAGGCTATAATTTGTAAAGCACACGTGACTCTACTTCTTCTATTTAAGTTGATTTTCCAACAAATTTACTATTAGAGTATATTATATTATTAGATATTATGACTCTATTATGATTCGGTTACCTAGATTAGTTAGTGTTTAGTTACCTAGTCAAACTCTATTACCTCGCATTATTTCTCTATATATATTTCATGTAAATCAACCCATAACATAATGGGGGTTTCGATTATATTGCGTATTATTATTTCTCTCATTCTCCAATTCTCTATTCTTCCTATATTTACAAACACTCCAACTTCTAGAAATAAGTACTTAAATAAGCTTTGCAAATATCAACTTAGAGGGTGTTTGACTAAGCTTATTTTAAACAGCTGATAAGCTCTTACGTCTGATAAGATGTTTTAAGAGCTGATAAGCTGTTACATCTTATTTTTATGATTAATTTTTAGAGTGTTTGTATAATGAGCTTATTTTCTATTTTTGCTCATTAAAATATCTTAAATAAAAAGGTGGGGTAGAGGTACTTATTTAAAAAGATCTTATTTGCTCTCCAACAGCTTATTTTAAAATTAAAAATTAAGATCTTTTTCTAAAAAATTACCAAACACTTTAGAAAAACTTATAGCTCTAAAACATCTTATAAGCTTCTTTTAACATCTTATAAGCTTAGCCAAACACCCTCTTAATCAAAAGCTTTTTCCTCATCCTTCTTATTAGTTCTCGGTTTGGTGGAGCCAGTTGACCAATTGGTCAAAGGTAGTTAACTGTAATATTTAATACTGTTGATAAAAATAGATGTTGTTTGGTAATAGATGGAATCGAATCTGAGGTATTAAATAAAAGGTAAAATTTGACAAAACCCCCTCATTACACAAGTGTAGTTACAACAGGCCAAATTTATTTCACATTTTTAAGATAAATCCAAAACAATTTTTATTACCAAAAAATAATTAATTATCACCATTATACCCCTTAATAATTTCTATCTAAATCTTCTGGCATAGCATATATATATATATATATATATATATATATATATATATATATATATATATATATATATATATATATATATATATATATATGAGCGCAAAGATCAAGACGGAGGATTAAATTTCCACCATTATTTTGTTGAATAAAATGCTGATAGTATTACTTCAATAACATTTGTAAAGATACATAATCATAATTCATCAAATTCCACTTTCTCTCACACTCTCTCTCGCGCGCGCGCACACACACAGACTATAATAGCAATTATTTCACTCATTTCATTCTTGACAATCTACGTATTAATCCAATTAGCGGTTTTCATTTCATTAATTACAGAGTGGTTTTCATTAATTACATATTGGTTTTCGTTAATTGATAAGTTTTTAGTGAATTTTTGTAATGATACTTGTTAATTACATAGTGGTTTTCATTAATTATTGAGTGATTTTTGTTAATTGATAGATTTTTAGTGAATTTTTGTAATAAAATTTGCTAATTATATAGTGATTTTCGTTAATTTACAGAGTGGTTTTCATTAATTATAGAGTGGTTTTCAAGTACATTAAGATTTTCGATAAATTTATAATGGATTTTCGTAACAGAGTGCTATAATCAAATAGTGGTTTTTAGTAAATTTATAGTGGATTTCAATTTGTTAAAAATTTTTTTTTTTATAAATTTAACTTTAAAAAAGAGATGTATATATAAACCATTTAAAAATAGAAAAAAATGATAAAAAAAAAAAAAGAAAACCCAATTAATTAATTAATTAAGGAAAGGAATGATAAAACTTAAACATAAAAAAAGAAAACCCAATTAACGAATTAATTAATGAAACGAGAAAGTGGCGTGATACAAGAGAGAATAGGGGAATGGTGGGGAGAAAATATGGGGATTTGCATATCTACCAAAAAAATGATGGATTTTCAAAATAATATAATATGTTACTCAAAAAAAAAAAATATAATATGGAAATTTTCAATAATATTAAATAGGGGCATTTTGGATAATTCGAGCCAATTGGATTTATAACAAATATCAATTAAAAAAATTGGATTTATCAAGAAGTCAAAATTCAATGAAGGGTGTTTGGCAAATAGCCCCTAAATAAAATTAATTAAAAAGTTAACGTGTTAAAAAGTTTGCTTACCGGCGGAAGTGGATTTTTCATGTACCACATTGTAATTCTCAGTTGACTAATGGTATACATTTTTCTTATCTAATAATATTGAAATAAACGAATTAATTCGTTTGACATTTTTTAATCTATTTAAAAAAGGGTTTATTAGGGATAACCCCCTTGTTCATATTTTCTAATGAGGTAGATCCAATTAATTTTTTCCTTTTTGAGATACACCCAAATTTGCCAACTTGGCAAAATATATTATGTAATTTCCCTTTAATACCCCTTTTTTATTTTGTTTTATTTTTGAACGGTATTTACTTCCTTAACTACGTGATATGAGATTGCTGATACGTTGCCTAAAATCACGGAATAAAATTACGTGAGTATATTGGCGGTTTCTATCAAATCTTGTACAACCGGTTTTGAAGAATTTATCCAGCGTTTCATCGTTTTCCATCGGATTTGAAGATAGGTTCGGATTTCATCGTTTTCATCGTTTTTCATCATTTTCCATCGTTTTCATCGTTTTCAATCGGGTTCGGATTTGAACCGGTTTTGAAGAATTTATCCAGCGTTTCATCGTTTTTCATCGTTTTCCATCGTTTTTTCACCGGCGTGGAAATAGGTTCGGATTTGAGCGTTCATCGTTGTCCGTTAGAAGAGGATGATGTTTGTTTGGAAGAGGATTGACAGAGTTAGAAGAGGATGGTTCACGCAGATCGGACCAGAGTTGTTTTATATGAGCTTCGTAGTTGGTTTATGCAATAATCGGAATAATTGTCCGCTGTGGTCGAGTTCATGTTTTTTATCCCGATCGATAGTTGGTTTATTTATTTATAACAGCCGATTTAAGTGTGTTGGGTAGTACATTAAAATATAGTTCGTAGTCTTTTTTAATTTAGCGTATGGATTTTGCATTTTAAGTTTATTTTTGATGATATTAATGTATTGTCATTCAAATGTATTTGCAGTCTATTGAATCATTTTTTTGTATTCTGCATTTTTAATTTTGTTTCATGATTTTAGGTTTTTTCGATGGCGAATTTCGTACGGATTTTGTTGAGGTTTGGTGGGTTGGTTGCTATAAAGAGGTGTTTACGATGTAATGGCTCGGTAACTTCGGTTAAGTGTTAAACCGTTGTAATACAGTAGTATACTATTATGAATACCGCATGATACTACCATTATCATTTTATTATACTATTATGAGATTATTAATGTACTAGAGTTTTTTAACTCGACATATTGGTTTGATTGTGTTATGATGTGTTTTATGTATTTTATCAAAACCCTAGATTGAAATTATGAGATTATTAATGTACTATTTTATTGGTTATGTTGGAATACTTTACGTTGGTGTTGTTCTCAATGTTCTTGTCATTTCAGTGGTATATTGTTTGTAACACAATTTCATATCACTACTATAACCGTAATATACTATCATAGCAGATTAATGTACTATATTGAAATTATTAATATACTATGTGGTTGAATAATACGGGATCCATAGTCGATTAACGAGATCCATAGTCGAATTAGATCAATAAGATAGTCTATTACACGATATAAGGAAAATTACCCTAATTGATTAGTATTTCAAACAAACATATTATTCAGTTTCCATATATATTATTATTTTTTCATATATATTATTATTTACCCTAATCGTTTTCATATAATAAGGAAGATTACCCTAATTGATTAGTATTTCAAACAAACATATTATTCAGTTTCCATATATATTATTATTTTTTCCAATAGTCAATTAACTAAACCCATAGTCGAATTAGATACATGGGATAGTCTATTAAAAGATATGAGATAGTCTATTAATTTTAAAACACAAATCCGCCGCCGTCACTTCTCAAATCTAGGGTTTTGATGATTCTTCGGCCCATAGTCGATTAACGAGATCCATAGTAAAATTATACCAGTGGGATAGTCTATTAAATGATATGGGATAGTATATTAATACAGATGTAATTCGACTATGCATCTCATTAATCAACTATGGGCCGAGAAATTATCAAAACCCTAGATTTGAGTAATCCTAGATTTGAGTAACCCTAGATTGGAGCAGTGACGGTGACGACGGCCAACGACGATATCACTTCTGGTGGATGTCCTGCTCATCAATTGTTGCAATATCACTGATTTAATGCTCGAATTCGGTATGCGATTATAACAGATCTGCAATTACACAAACGTGATAGTCGATTTAGCCAAAACATATCAACAAATCGATGGATGATAGCGATTCAGCGAGTGGCGACGACGTACCTACGGAGGCTTGGTCGGAGTGCAGAAAAATCGCCGATCCACGGCCGTGCAAATTTCTGGTTTTGGGAGGTTTTGCAGTTTTTTTGATAGTGGGTTTGTGGTGATAGTGTTTTAACGGGAAAATAGGGAGAGATTTGATATTATTTCAAAAGGTAAAGTAACGGGATTTGTGGGATTTGATTGAGGGTAATTATGTAATATAGAAAAATTTGGGTTTTTATCAAAATGACAAATTTAAGTTTGGGTCTACCCCTATTATTTGAATGTTTAAGGGGGTTATATCTAATTGACCATTTAAAAAAATATATCTAATTGAGGTTATTTCCATGCCAAGGTTATTTTTTGTCAAGTATGGAAGAGAAAAGTGTGTAGATAGTTGACTATTTGGAGTTAGCCACCTCTTTTGAAAATTCAACTTAATTGTTTCAAGTAATTAAGTTTATTTTGGTAAGATACCAAAAATATTCTTAAACATTGGAAGTGTTTGACTAAGCTTATAAGCTATTTAAAAGAATTTATAATAAGTAATTTAGATATATTAAGAAACCATGTTAGATTGCATTTGCATGTTTAAATCGCAAGAAAATATTAAACTGTGGAATAAATTTCCTTAATTGCTTGATCATGTTTTATTAAAAATTGCAATTTGTTTTTTTTTTTCGGTAACCAAGGAATTCGTAGTCAACCATATATGTGTACTGGATATACTTTCATTTTCGTATAATAGCTTGAAAACCATACAAGAGACGTAAACCACATTCACTTCAGTTAACTGACATAAGTTCACTTGCACCAACCACTAGTTCATCCGTTGTTTTACAAATAATTAATTACCCCATTCATAGTGTGAGTGCTCTCGATTAATTTTGTGCCCGCTTCAGTTTGGTAGGACTATAAAATATTAATTATAGTCCAAATAAATAAAAGAACTTAAATTAATGGTAAAATATATACTGGAGACAAAAATTCAATAATATAATGTTTTGAATAATAATGAATTGTCGTCATGTAAATAATACACTAAAATGGGACCATGCCTTGTCACAAAAAGGAAGGACAAAGTCATTGTGAAAACTGCTAACAATCAATTAGATGAAGAATATTATACTTTGATTCCAAATTAGCCTGGCATGATGTGGTTTGTTGCTTTGCCACAATCTTGTCCGTTGATTTATGTGGTTCAAGATCACGTTTTTCAGTGCTCCGTTCGGTTGGGGAGATTAATTATTATTAATTAAATAATTTGACGTTGTTTCTGATGTTTGGTAGAATCAATAATTTTTTGAGTTGATCATTTTAGAGAGTTTTTTTTAGGGGCGAGCAAGTCGGACCCATCAACCCGCTACACCCGTCAAACCCGTGAAAAACCGTCCCGTTGGGACCGGACGGATAGATCCATCCATAGGATTGGGTCCTAAAATGGTGAAGAACCGTGGGTTTGGGTCTTAGACGGGTTCAATTTTTTTTAATACCCGTGAAACCCGTCCCGCCCCACCATACAAAACGACGTCGTTTTGTTTACATTATATAGTATAATAAATTAATAATATTAATGAATAAATAAAGTATCTCTAGTGTATCAAATACATAAATCAACTAAACTATAATTGTGGAAGTAATAGCTATAAAGATTATGAAAATCTCTAAGAAAATGTAGGAAAAAAACATATATATACAACGGTCAACACACGGCAGAAAAAAAAAGGAAGAAAATGGTGTCGAATGGAGATGAATAGCGTTGGTTATGCTTGAAAAAACTATATTTATTTTATTTAAATTTTGTCTTTTAAGTTATGAATTAGTTATTTTTAGTTTTATATTAATTTTTATTTACTCTTGACATTTACATTATTTATGTTTGGTTTCAATTTAAAATTTTAGGTTATTCATTTTAGTTTCTAATTATTCTCCCGTAAAACTTATAAATTATATATAAAAAAAAAATAGTTTAGACGATAACGGGTTTCGACCCGTAAAGGTTGGGTCCTACTACAAACCCGACATGGACCCGCCTATCATAAACCCGTTAAAAACCCACAAGTTCGGTTCTTCAAAATCAAGAACCGTTGTTTGACGGGACGAGGGCGGGTTTTGATAGAACCCGCGGGTTTATGGCCCGCGCACACCCCTAGTTTTTTTTATTGGGCCTTCCGAGATTCAATAGAACAATTGGATATTTATTCTACTATTTAATCTTACTTTGACTAATTATATCTTTGACCAACCAAACGAGGACTTAGATAAGGAAATTATATTTCTCACCTAAGGCCCAATCAATTCGGACAAAAGTAGGCAGCTTGTAGTCCATGTTCATGAAGCCCTCTGGACACACCAAAATGGGCTGCCCAATACTAAAAGCAGCTTTCTTAATTGGCCATGCAAAATTATTAGCCTCGTATTTTTTAAATAATAAGTATGAATATGATCATATTCATATTATAGGTAATTCTTAATTTCTGTGTTACCAAACAAGGTTGGTTCGATGCTACGTCCGATGAATTATATTGCTTATATTCTATCAGGTGGATATACATATTTTACGCACATTCACACATACATATATATACTATACATGTAAAATGACGAAATATATTAACATTTAGAAGACAACGAGCAATTATAAGGGGTGAGTGTAATTATCGATACCACATGGACCTTAAAGTATTTAAGCATACCTTAGGGGCGTGACCTTAAAGTATTTAATCATATCTTAGGGGTGTGAGTGTAATTTACACTAAACCAAATAATATATTGCTTTGAATGTTAATTCTCTATTTATAAGAATTTTAGGGAAAAGGAAAAAAGAAATATTGAATAATAAGACCACGGGCGGCACTAACTAAAAAGTAAGTCAAAGTCAACATTCGGTATTTTCACATATGAAAATGCTCAATTATGTATCTCTTTTTGTATTATTAAAAAAAATAATTTATTATTTACATCTTTACCTTTTCTGCTTTTCATATGATAATCGTGCGCAATTGCAATATGCATCATATATATATATATATATATATATATATATATATATATATATATCTACTTCACTATTGTCTAACTTCATTCAACAACTCCACCCCCTCCCCCGTCCGTCCCTCACCGGCCACCACCACCACCGCCACCGCCACCACCACCACCACAGAATCCCAACCACCTTCGATATTCAACAGCAAAGAGAAGCAGAGCATGTCGGAAACGACGGCGGATGGAGCTACGCCGTCTCTCTTCTCCCCTTACAAGATGGGCAAGTTCGATCTCTCCCACAGGTCCTTCATTTTCTCCTCCTCTCCCTTAATTCTTCTCTCCAATTATGCTATCAAAACTCGGATCACTCAAATTACTCACCACCGAATTTGATCGGAAAAACAAAAATTGAATTCAATTTGATTTCGGATTATAAATTTGTAATTATAGGGTGGTGCTGGCTCCGATGACCAGATGCAGAGCACTGAACAACATGCCCAACGCCGCCCTAGTTCAGTACTACACTCAGAGAGCCACCAGCGGCGGATTTCTCATCACCGAGGGCACCATGATCTCCCCAACTGCCGCAGGGTATTCTCGTCATTTCATCCTCTGCTCAATTATTATTCGTCTAGAAAAAGTATATGGAATAATACCACAAGTTTTAACTGATTTCAAATTTGGTCCTCCATGTTCATAAAAAATATATTTAGTCCCTTATATTTCAAAAGTTCAACATTTTTAGCTATTTCCGTCATTTTTCTGTTAAAACCAACGGAATCAAACGTGTGTCCATCACTACCTTAAGTGACCAAATGTGTTTTTTGTAAATATGAAATCGTTGCATACTTGAGGGGTGGAAAATGTAAATTTCACAAAAACCATATATATAAAGCTGTTTTAGGGCCCCGCACCATTAATATTTAATTAATATTCGTAAACTTTATTGGATTGGTGGAATTTGGTGGGGCCCACGCAGGTTCCCGCACGTGCCGGGCATATTCAACAAGGAGCAAGTGGAGGAATGGAAGAAAGTGGTGGATGCTGTACATGCTAAAGGGGCTGTTATATTCTGTCAGCTCTGGCATGTGGGCCGGGCTTCTCATCAAGGTACAAACCCCAAATCCAACGGCCGTGATTCCATCTTCATTCACACGTGCCTTTTTTGATTAATTTTAAAACATATGTTCATCTTATATTTATTTATTTAATCTGAAGGTTAATGGTTAATAATGGTTAATGCTCTCTGTTATTAATCACAACTCACAACATGCATTTAAATTTAAACAGTTAATCCGAAAGGAAATGACAACATTTGAAATACTAGAATTAGAAAACACGTTTTTAGAGCCTCGAAAGTCGAAATCGTAACGAATTAATGAAAAGATACACGAAAAGGTTACGATGATGATGACATTAGCATTTCAATATATAATATTGTTTCAAAACTTGATTGAGTTTTTGGGTGGCAAAAATCAACAGAGCTTCAGCCAGGTGGCATTGCACCGTTGTCTTCGACGGACAAGCCGATATCGAAGAGGTGGAGAGTGCTACTGCCAGATGGAAGTTACGGTATATATCCAAAGCCACGCAAATTGGAGACCAATGAAATACCTGAGATCGTCGAACACTATCGCGAGGCAGCCGTTAATGCAATTGAAGCAGGTCAGTTTATATTTTATACGACAAAATAAAAAACCACACATTCTTGCTATATAGTATAATATAATGTATGTTGAACACCATCTATAAAGTAACTAGATAAGTGAAATACGCCGATTACATAAAATTTATAGAATTTACGAGCGTAGATGTTGACAGCAGGGCGCATCCGAAAGGGTTTAGTGTCGATTAGCGCTAATAAAGACTTATAAAATACACTAATGAAAGCTAAGATAAGTAGCATTTTCTTTTTCACTCGTATCGAACGGGTCTGCTCTAAATTTACGTAGTCTTGCTTATTTGGTTATTAGCATCTAAGATCCACAAAGCTCGGTGTCCTTGTGATAATAATCTGTGACAATTGCAAACCGTTCATTGAAAACGTGCAAAATGTGTATAGCTTGTTTAGAAAACAAATTCACTGCCTACTAATTATATAAGGAAAAACGAACAGGATTCGATGGTGTTGAAATCCACGGAGCTCACGGTTACCTAATAGATCAATTCCTCAAAGACGGAATCAACGACCGTACGGATGAGTACGGTGGGTCCCTCCACAACCGCTGCAAATTCATCAAGCAGGTCGTCCAATCAGTCATCTCCGCCGTCGGCGCCGAACGGGTCGGCGTTAGAATCTCGCCGGCGATCGACCACCTCGACGCGACCGACTCGGACCCGCTCAGCCTCGGCCTGGCGGTGATCGAGCGGCTTAACAAGCTCCAAACGGACCATGCAGCGAAGCTGGCTTACCTCCACGTGACCCAGCCCCGTTACGCAGCCTACGGGCAAACCGAGTCGGGCCCACACGGGAGTGCCGACGAGGAGGCGAGGTTCATGATGACGTGGCGGAGAGCTTATTCGGGAACGTTCATCTGCAGCGGCGGGTTCACGCGGCAGCTGGGGGTGGAAGCGGTGGCTGAGGGGGTTGCTGATTTGGTGGCGTTTGGGCGTTTGTTTATTTCGAATCCGGATTTGGTGACGAGGCTCGAGATTGATGCGCCTCTGACTAAATACGTGAGGAGCACGTTTTACACGCACGATCCTGTTGTGGGGTATACGGATTATCCTTTCTTGAAAGATGGCACCGGAAAAACGGCACCCTTATCGCGTATGTGAATTTCGGGGTATATGCTATATATATATATATATTGTGTAAGCCTAGCTCTGGATATTATTGAAAGGAAAATTGTGTGTATTTTTTATTTATGTGGTGGTGTATTATCTGTATATCATGTAGTAGTGCATGGCTTGTATTGAAGAATTTGGTGGTGTTGCCTGCCTGCAGTTTGAATCTAGTCCAACGTTATTCACTTCTGAACAACAATGATGCTCATTTATAGAGAATAAATGCACACTTGCCTATATTTATTCTTAATTGGCATTTTGGGCTTTATAAGGTTTTACTTGAACTTAATGATCTAATTATTTTATTTATTATGAGTCAAAATAGTGTTAGTCATTTGACCCGAGTTTGAACTTTCTCTGCAAGTATTTTATAGATTGAACTCGTCACACACAGTTAAACTAGTGCATTTTACCTCTGTCTATCTTGTGGTATTTTAAAATTATTACACAAGAGCATGGTTTACTTTACTAAATGCACCTCAAATAATTGCAATTTCCACTGTAAAAAAAATACAGAAGTAAAAAAAGACTGGTAGAAAAACAGGAATTAAAATAATAGACATATATAGGTAGGTACATGAAAGGAAACAAAACATTTAACCTAATAGGTCATTCCAAATTAAATGCCGTAGGAGATAGGGAAACCATAAGCTCCACACATTGCTCTTCAATCTTTTATATATATATATATATATATATATATATATATATATATATATATATATATATATATATATATATATATATATATATATATATATATATATATATATATATATATATATATATAGATATGGAGAGAGATCGCGCTCTCTCTCTCTCTCTCTCTCTCTCTCTCTATAACATGGGGGTTTATATTTTGTATATAGGGGTGGGGGATATATATATATATATAGGGGGGGGGAGCGAGAGCGCGCGCGCGCG